ACCGTCCACCCAGATTCTCGACTTCCATGTTTTGGTCGTATCGGGTCCTTCCATGTCCCTGAATCCGGATGAAGTCGAGAATCCACGAAAGCCCCGACAATTCTCGTTTCGGGGAACCCCCAAGCTAATTCTTCGGAACGATGATTGGATGGGCGCGCACGAGTGGGCGGGCATTACTGGAGGGGGCGGTGCCGACTTGGAATCCTTATGCCTTCTCGCTTTTCCGAAGCAATTTTCTTGCTTTCGAAGCGACATTCTCAACCGCGACTTGGGCGCAGACTTGATAGGGGGTCCTACTACCACTAACTGCTGAAAACTCAAGACCCCAAACTTAGGTGGACGTTGCCTTATTTCTTGTGGGTTCCGCGACCGATGCTGGGTCATAGCCTATACAGGCATCAAGGTACTCATTACTTCCACATACGACTCGTTTCCAATCAGAATCCGAAATTTTTTGACGATCTCTTTGAAAATTGAAATGTACTTTGACCTTTTGGTAAAATGCTCTTCACAGTGATGCTATAGAGTTAGACAAGAATCTGCCTGCGATCTAGAAGAGGGTATATAAAATTGTTGTAATGTTTCTGATACCTGGTGGATGAAGTAAAGCGCAGTGTGCGGTGCAGCCCATTCTCTAGCGTGAATTCCGCCATCGATCCAGAAAATGCGCCTTGATCGATCCCGACTTCCAATCTGAACGGAACGAGCGCGATTAGATAATTGATGTCTTTAAAAACTAGCCCAACAAAAGGATTTGTTTAGAGACTTGAGCAGATTATAGCTTCTTCGGATCCTGTATTGAATAAATGGGCGCTTGATTGATATCAGAGTGTAAAAAAGCATTGAAGAAGGGCTATGCGCAGAATGAGGCGTCATCTAATATATCTTGAGGAAAATCAAAATTTTAGGGTGGAGATCTTCGTTCTAGTGCTCTCAAGTCAGTAGAAAGCGATATCTTCATCTTGAAATTTTGGTATGGTGTCTTACGTCATATCTTATCATTTAGATGTCTTTCTAATTTAATAATACCTTAATAATTATTTTCTGACAAATTCACCTCAAGACCATCGATAGATCTGCCTTCGTGTGAAGTGCCTATGGAAATAAACTGAACATGCTGCGGGTCGTTTCTTGCCAAAGCGCGCATCCAAGACACCATTTGACTGTAAGAACCGTAGCGATGAAAGTCGTAGAATGGCGCCGATGATTCGTCTTTCAATCGCCGTGGTCGTTTCCGATGCTCCTTCGTTTGGATGAGTCTTAAATGACGAGCGCTAATATTATTAGGTTTATGTACAAAAAAGCTTACTTTTGAACGTCTTCAATAGTCTTCAAATAGGCAATGTCGTGTTTCTGCAGCAGCCCTAGGAGATCTTTGCTGACTTTTTTGTCCACCATAACATCCCAGAATCCATTGAGATTCTTGGCGGTTTTCCAAAAGTTCAGCTGAAAAAGTCGATACAATTCATGGAAATTCTATCCATTATCAGTCACTTTTAGTTTTTAATCTTGAATTATTTATTTATTTAATAAATAATGATACTAAGGTGAACACTTGTATTCTCTTGTCTATTGTAAGTAATTATTATCAGTCACTTTTGGTTTTTGAGTTTTGAATTATGTCTCTGAAGTTACCAAGCTGTTTTCGATTGAGAACTAACTCGGCCCAGGGCTCGGTATATCTTGAGGTTCTGAATCACAATTGTATGTGCTTCAATCAAATTCATCACTGAGTTGCTTTTGAACACAAGATTTATTTGACCTGGCTTGAGCCGCTTACTAAATGCACAAATCATTATGGATAATGTATAGGAAAACGAACGGCTCTTTTTGTAAGTTTGTCAATATATCGTGCAGCATAATTGCAAGCTTGTACTTCAATCTCATAGATAATTGTGAGCCCTGTAATAATTCAAATCAGAAGCTTG